AAGCGAGGATGGTTTTGGAGAACATAAGTTTGATGTGGAGACTGCAATAAGAGTCTGCCGTGCGACCAACTACCATGAGCATGCAATGTATGTTGCTAAAAAGGCAGGGAAGCACGAATGGTACTTAAAGATCTTACTTGAAGACCTTGGCCGATACGAGGAAGCCTTGCAATATATTTCAAGCCTTGAACCAAGCCAAGCTGGAGTGACAGTGAAAGAGTATGGTAAGATTCTTGTAGAGCACAAGCCTGTGGAGACAATTGAGATACTTATGAGGCTGTGCACTGAAGATGGAGAATCAAGCAAGAGAGGAGCCGCTAATGTTGCATACTTAAATATGTTGCCATCTCCTGTTGATTTTCTTAACATCTTCATCCATCATCTGCCTTCGCTTATGGATTTTCTTGAAAAGTATACCAACAAGGTGAAGGACTCTCCTGCTCAAGTAGAAATCCATAACACACTCTTGGAGTTGTACTTGTCCAATGACTTGAGCTTCTCATCAATATCACAAGCTAGCAACGGTGAAGATCTAAATCTCAGGGCTAGATCAGGTGCAACTGCAACGTCAAGATCAGGGTCCAATGGGAAATTTATTGCTGATGGCAAAGATTCAAATAAGGAAAAGGACCGTCTGGAAAAGCAAGAGAAAGGGCTACGACTGCTTAAGAGTGCATGGCCATCTGAGCTGGAACATCCACTTTATGATGTTGATCTTGCCATAATCCTTTGTGAAATGAACGAATTCAAGGAAGGCCTTCTCTATCTATATGAAAAAATGAAACTCTATAAAGAGGTGATTGCTTGCTACATGCAAGCTCATGATCATGAGGGTTTGATTGCATGCTGCAAACGACTAGGGGATTCAGGTAAGGGTGGGGACCCAACTCTGTGGGCAGATCTGCTAAAATATTTTGGGGAACTTGGAGAAGATTGCTCCAAGGAAGTGAAGGAAGTTTTGACATATATAGAAAGGGATGACATCTTGCCTCCTATTATTGTTCTTCAAACACTGTCCAGAAATCCATGTCTCACACTCTCTGTCATTAAGGATTACATTGCTCGAAAGCTTGAACAAGAATCAAAGTTGATTGAAGAGGACCGTCGAGCTATTGAGAAGTATCAGGTTAGTGCTTATTTTTTGCAGCTGTCATTGTTAACTTGTTTATTATACCTCTTCTTTCATTTCACTGGCCTCCAGTAAAAGTTGGTTAACATTTTTTGTTCCTTCTTGAAGTCTTCCTTGGAAACTTTTGTAATGACATGATTGTGATCTTGTCAAAGCAGAGTGTATCAAATAAGTTTGCATGACTATCTAGTTAGGTTTAAAATGCATGAACAATAAGAAAGAAAAAAAAACACAGAAGTGTTTCAAATAGCTATGAGATAAGTGCATCACGGAAAAAGAAAATCTAGGGATCATCTTCAGGGTTCTTGGATAAGGTTACATTGAACTGACTTCTATTTTTTGTTTTGTTTTGTTAGACATTGAACTGAAAATCTAGATTTTGGACAATTCAACATTTTCTTGACCAGTGAAAGTGTTTCTTTGAAGGAAATTGGCATATTATTTAGCAAGTGAGAAAATAATCCAAAGAACTTTAACAAACTCTTCAGTCTAAACAAGGGAAATGATCAGGCATGTTTGGCATGTCATAGTTCTTTTATCTATATTACATGAGTAGGTGAAGCTGAGTCTTTCTCATGAAAGATATCTTGATCTAAAGTAATCAATACAGGACAGGCATGATGGTACTCTTCCTGATTTCTGATGAGAATATACATTTGTGTGTGTGTGTATTGGACCAAAAATAAATCATCTGCAAAAAACAAACACACTTAACACCATTTTAGGTTTCAATTCAAACTATTGTGTGGTTGTTTCGTGTGTGCATGTGTGAGAGATTATCTAATGAACCCTTTAATTCTTCAGGAAACCACATCGGCAATGAGAAAAGAAATTCAGGATCTTAGGACAAATGCTAGAATTTTTCAGCTCAGCAAGTGCACTGCATGTACTTTCACTCTTGATCTCCCAGCTGTGCATTTTATGTGTATCCACTCATTCCATCAGCGATGTCTCGGCGATAATGAGAAAGAATGTCCTGTATGTGCTCCGGAATACAAATCTGTGCTAGAAACGAAAAGAAGTTTAGAGCAGAACTCCAAAGATCAGGATCGGTTCTTCCAGCAAGTTAAAAGTTCGAAGGATGGTTTTTCTGTGATCGCTGAGTATTTTGGGAAGGGGGTCATTAGCAAAACCAGTAGTGGACCCACAGGTGGTTCTTGATCAGCAGCAGTTCTTTCAGCTGTGGCGTATGAGGTTTGTTAACTGTGTTCAGAATACTCAACAGCTTAAACCATGCCCATGTGGGCTTGGAATTTTAGAGATATGGAAGGTTGAGCAACTTTGGATTTCCTTCCTTTAGTGGCATTGGATGACTGGGCTTCTTCTTCTTGTTTTGTTTCCCAAAGTTTGGAGGAGTGAAATCTTTTGTCTTTTTTTTGGGCGGATCAAAATGGTATATCCTGAAACAGTTTTGCGGATCTGCATTAATTCGAAAAATAAACTGAAATTTGTGAGTAAAAGGCATTGTTATATAACTTAATGTTCCCACTTCTCACTTTCTAGCAGCTTTGGAAAACACCCTTATCATATATCAGCCAGTTGCCATTTTGACGCGCGAGTTTAAACTGGGAAGTGGGTTTGGTGTGGTAGTAGTTAGAGAATGCAAAGACAAGTTTTTAAATTTCTTTTCCTTTGGTAAGAAACGAAAAGTCAATGCTTAAAAATCATTGCTTTTTGTGATATTTTTTGAGATTTTCTATTTAAACCCCACACTTCTCTTTGTTCACCCCAATACTTAAATCATTAAGCTGTAAGTTTTATTATTGTGTAAAAAGACAAAAAAGGTCATCCAATTTAATAATTAACCCTAGTACATCTATACACACACCCCACCACTCTTTATATTAAGTTTTAGAAAAATACAAACTCCTCTACATCCTATTTAAATTGAATCAGGACAGAGGTAAAGTATAAATTGGATCATATCAGGACAAACTCCTCTACTTGGAAAGAGGTAAAGTTGTTCTCTTTCTCTCAAAAGTATTAAATTTCGGATTTGGGGTTCCATTTGTTTGTGTTTTTTTTTTTGCTAGGAACAAAGAAAATTGTGGGGTTTAAATAGAAAATCTCTTTTATTTCTTATTTTTTTTCAGTTTGGGGTATATTTAAGGGTAGTTTGGAAAGATAGTGGGGTTTTCTTAGAAATTGCGAAAATTTAAATTAAAAGATGAAGTGAACTTAGAACATGGGGTGAACTAAGAGAAGTGTGGGGTTTAAATAGAAAATCTCTTAAATTTTAATTTGTCAAACTGTAAATCTAGGTTGATGGAACTGTGGAATGTGCTGTTTACTATTCAGGTGACCTAGGATGGTATAGTTGTTGACAACTTCTAATCATTATATATCTATCTGTAGCATACGCATCCATTCTATCCATTTGTTTGACTGGCCCAGATTGAAAGGTACACGGTAGCTTATGGAATCAGTTGGTGGTTAAATTCTTCCAAAGGGGAGAATCCTAGGCCCCTAACAATAATTTTCAAGCTTAACCTACTCCTTTGAATGTGGCCCTTGTCTATATATTATCCGAGAATCTAAAGCTGTAAATATTTTGAATGTGGTCATAAGTTAAATCTGATTGTTCATGTATTATGAGCTTCACATGCATCAAACAAGAGTTAATCTGATCGTTCATGCATGCGTTGTGAGCTTCATATGCATCAATAATCAGGAATTTCCCACGTTGGCAACTCATAATAAAGTACTCTTTATTGCTTGAACAAATATGATTCTAGTGTAAATAATTAGTGAGAAGTGCTTTTTGATTGATGATATGCATGAAAATATATCACATTGGTACTTTTTCATTGTTCGAGAAGTCCCCACGATAAGTCACACCTGTATAATCTGTTGAAAAGGTCATATATTTTTTTATCATGTTCGATGATGGCTCATGTTTTGCAGTTGTCCTATCAATAGAAGTCTATGGTAGACCATTGCTGTCGGCGCGTACCCAACCTGCCATGTTGGTTCATGCAAGGTTTGTGCAATTTATTAGCAGTTCCCCAACCCATAGTGCTTGGGACAATAACCATGGGAGCGTGCGAGACTCTCAACCGTTAATGCATTGGAATAGAATCGTTAATGCATTGAAATGGACGTCATCCATGTACGTGTTAGCAATGATTTCTTAATCAACTTTTTTGAATTGGAGATGATAAAATAAATATCTGACTTGGATGTAAACAAGCACAAGTGAACCCTTTTCGACCGAAAAAAAAACACTGTGAACCCTAGACATCCCATCCATGCTCACCCTTTTCAGCTTGATGGTAAAACACCACCCAGAAAGGCCAAGTCCGGATTCAGGCCCTCGCCTCAGCAAATATTAAACAATGGTTTTATAATGTTAGTCCACATCCAATCGAGCAGTACACCAAATCTCTCGACATCCCCTTTTTGGTTATGTAGAGACAGCCGAATCAAACCATGTTGTCTTTGTCTTCCATGTCTCTCATCTAACCCTACTTTTATTAATGGCAACTTATAATGGGGGTTCCAACAACTGCTTAAACAATTATAAGCAGCTTCCCCGACACCTCTGGAACTCCTCCGAAACTTCAGTTTCCGGGTAAATGCAGAGTCCTGTGACAAAATCAACTCAAGGATGCTCCCTTAGTTACATTCCGAGAACCTTGATCACCACCAACTTCCAAGATCTAAAAAGAGGTAATTTGACTACTTGAGTTTGAAGATAAATTGACTTTATCTATAAACTTCCAATCGAATACAGACATTATACAAATTGTCAATTTCTACATTTCCCGCATTTTGTGATCATCAAACCAGTGAAACTGACCCAAACACTAACAATCGAACTCAAAGATCAAAATCATTACAGAAAATCACTACTTTAAGGGGAAACAGTAACTTTATAAACATGGGTTGGATGATCTGCAACAAGAACTTGATTGCCTCATCATGGTTCTCAAAGTAAACAAACATATGAAGATCAAAAGACCAGCGATAGATACATTAAAGGCTATATAAAAACAGAGTTCTCCAAAGAAGAACAAGCATGTAACTTGACAGACTCGAGAGAAGAAAAAAAAACGAAAAAAGTACTTTCCTACTCTGTTCTCTAGGCCAAAAAAAAAAGAAAAAAAAAGAAAAAAGAAAATATACGTAGGTACATATAAGATCATCCTTTATGGTTCCAGCTTCAAGGAAACAACCCGTGATTGTCTGTTACGCTTTGCCACCTTGACAAATACTACTGAGAGGCAAGATGGAGCCCACCATGGCCTGCGGACCTTTTGCTCCCCTTTCAGGCAAGCCACTGGACATAAACTTGATTTTAGCACACACACAGATGGTATCTAAATGCAATTCAAATTTCAGAGGAAAAAGGCATATATATGTAGCTCAAGGGAAATATGATTCCAGAATGGTTTAAATTCTCAACTTGCTAGGATAGATAATGAGATAAAGAGAGAGTTTCACAATGCTATTGAATGAGGCATAGGAACGGTTTCTTAGTGTCAGCGTGCTACGCCATCAGTAGACATTTGAGTGCATGAAATGAATGGATCATGCATGGCCAGTCTATCTCACCAATCCGTATACTCTACAAATACTCTCTTTTCTGTTTTACTTTTGGAATAATTATATTTTCCATTAATCAAATGTCATACGTACTTGTGCATAGAAAATGCAACAGAAAGATAATCACAACCCTTATTCCAATCTATTTATCCAATAACTCTAGAGACCAAATGAACTTTTTGATATAAGAATGAACACAAAGACATTCACATTTTTTTTCACAGCATGATAAAGACTGATAGGAAAATTTCTAGGCTACAGACCTTTAATTCGCCTTAGTTCCTTACACAGCGTGATAAAGTCTCCCCATTTCATGTGGCACCGTCTTATAAACCGAAGAATCTGCTCAGTAGTAAACATTGACATGCCTTCCAGGTATTCTCCATTGACACCATTTTCCTTAAAAGTTTGCCGGTAACTGCCGAGGTTTATCTCTTCCAACCACAAACCGACATCCTGTACGAAAGGGGAAAATAAACATGAGAATACATGTGGGTGAGCCATATGTCTTTATATTCGTTTTATTATATAAGGCCAAAAAATATGTACATGAGGCCTTCATCAGGGCACATGATAAACTCAGGCTATTAAGTCACTGTTGTTATAATATAACAGTCCCTCCAACCCAAATAAAAAAATAAAAAAACCAATATTCACCCAAATTTTTGTTCAGGACAACCTTAAACTTAGGGCAATTTAAACTCTGTCTTTTGAGATTATCCGACTAGAGTTCATCCATATCAACCGGCATCACCTCACATGGCAAAGTAATGTTTTTGTCTGTAACTTGGCTGTGTTTAATTTTAATATCAATAATCCCCTGTAGTCACAAAATATCTGTCCCCAGAGGTAATCCTAAGATTCCTAAGACCAATAGTAATGTGTTTGTCTCATTATTTTCACTGTAACGTACTTACTCATAGCTACTAATAGTTAGGTAGAGGCATCTTTAGCAGAACTTCAGAGTCAAAGACCACATTCAAGCTTTAGCTCATAGTTTTGTTCACTTGTGAAGTTGTTAAAAAAAAAAAAATCCATTCATCATTCTATGGCCCGGGAAACAATTTCCGCACCCCAAGATGAGGAGGGTCCTGACCAAGTGAATAGCAACAGATAATACGGCATTGCATTAACAACAAACTATTGTTCTGTAGCATTTTAGAATCGTTTTATAAAGTGGCAAAGAGTCAAACGCCTGACACCACAAGAACCATAACTCAAAGAAAGAAGATTGTGTCGAATAATAGCTGGAGGAGGATGAATTGATGAGTGAAGGAAGGCAATTATTTCCGGTAATAACAACATGAGATGGATTCATATGAAACTGATGAATTTCCCAGCTTGCCAAGTATGAAGGATAATTAGCAGATTACATGGAAGTCTCCTCTATTTCGATTCATTAAGTTGGTCTTTTTCACAATAATCAAAACTAAAACCTACAACTTGATAACTGTTCCCAGTATCAACCCCATAAAAAAGTAAATACATCACAAGATGTTAACAAAACCCCAAAATTTCAAAAAGTTAATACATACAAACACACATATATACAAAGCCTAACTCAAAGAGAAACAGATGTATGAGCTACCAATAAATTACCAAAAAAAATGAAGAGTCAAAATCAGATGTCCCAAACAACAATTCCCCAATACCAACGCACAAGATCTACTTGATTGAATGAGAAATATCCAAAAACAAAGACAGAAAAAGAGGAAAAGAGACTGAAAATTGGTTACCTCAACAGTCCAAATGAAGAAATCAAGAGGCTCTGGTGGGTGTTCTTTGCTCATCTCCCTATTCATAACGCCTTTTCAAGACCTTCAAATCATTCACAACCCAAACACACTCTCAGTCACAGAGACGACACAAAGAGTAAAGAGCTTAAAAATAAATTTTCACAAAAATAAAAATAAAAATAAATAACAGCTTGGTCTAAGACGAGTGGCAGTTACTGCGATCCGAATTTTCTTCGTTTTTTTTTTCTTCCGTTTGTTGTATTTTCTGGGAGACCAAACAGAAAGTTAGAGAAAGCTGGATTGGGACTTACCGTGCGGAAGGTGAGTGAGAATTTTGAGGGTATAAATTCTCTACATTTGTTTCAGAGCTTAAAGAGAGAGAAAGTAAGAAGAAGTCTGAAGCTGATGACTCATTTGCTTTCTTGCCCACTCTTTTTTTCTGTCTCTTAATGGAGTTGATGGGCCTCCATTTTTCTCCTTTATTTTCCCTTTTAATTTCTCTTAATTATCATTGCTAAATTTCATATAATAACACTAAATTACATTTTTATCCATTGTATCGGATTGCAAAGCGATATTGGACAGAAGGAAATCCAACACACACCTCAGGTACAAAGGTTAATGCTATTAATCGCTTGAGCTAGATACGTGCCCTTCACAATCCATTTAAACTTTTATTCTTCTATATATAAAAAGCAAACAAATGTAAAAAAAAAAAATCTAAAACATTACTCCATATAGATCATAATCAAACAGAAATTAGATAAGAAAAAAAAAACCTATTGACATATGCGTGAAACGTAAATCAAGATACTAGTAAGACTAAATTCATTTGAATTCTAAACCATAAAAAATTATAATTGTAAATGTCGAAGTGAAATGAGATCAAAACAATTGGAAATAAAACCCTAATTTAGCCAAGGAGAAATTCTCATTAGTACCCCTTAAGGTAATTTATAAATTTGGTTGGTAAATGATTTAATTTTTTATTTTGGTTTGATGCATGTCAAATCATAGAGTAATTGGCTATTAATAATACAGCTTATGACGTTTACTATAATAACTTTGTCTTAATTATTTTGGGACCATTATGAAATTATTACTAAACCAGCTTCAATTAAGGTGCATGTTTGGGCCCACGTGGGCCGGCCTGAGTTTGATTGAACTGGAAGACTACGAAGGCGACAAGTTGGACCGACCAAATCGAAACCATGCAGACGGTCAATGAATCTTATGGTCATCAGATCGGACGGTCGTGACGGGAGTTTCTTTGAAGCCACAGTAAACAACTACATGTGCAACACGTGTCCATACCGTCGCTTACGTTGCGCTATCATTGTCCCTGGACCACATTACCAAATAATAACCCTAAATCAGTAATTAGAATTACATCACTTCCTTCTTTTAGGTGCTTATTATATTGTCATTTGTTGTCTCCCCTTTTGATCTTGCACCCACTTTTTACTGACTTTCTATTACAAACGTATGCACCACAAAGATTATGAAAATAACTTTTCTTACCTCTTTTGTATTTTTTTGATGTAAACTACTGTAATATAAAAGAAAATTTGAATTCTGGTATAAGGAGACGAGCACATTGTCCTGACAAATTAGCTTAACCCACGTATACTTCATCCAAAAAAAGTCAACACGTGAAAATAAAAGTAAACTGTGAGTAGTCAATGTTGTACAAACAAATGTTGTTTTACTTATAACTCATTATTTCTATAGTTAGTTAAGACTTCGTATTAATATAAACCCTAGTGTCATTATAAGATATACTTGTGGATATGGATTGGGTATTTGTATCAATGTGGACCTACAATGGGGCCAATTCAAGAGGTGGGTTAAACAAGACCTTCTTAATATGCTCCTATGGACCTAATCCATATTATATATATAGCATGGGCATGACTCATGAAAGAAGACAAAAAGGACCCAACTTAAGAAGAGCCCAATTTTATAGCGACATAACATATATGGAAATGTATGAATGATTTTTTTATATTTTATTATAATTTTAATACAAGCGATATTCAAAATTACAAGGATAAATGAGGGGGGTTTTTCACACACACATTACTAATTCGAACTTGAAATCATGGTTTACAAATCAATGTATTTTTTTACTGGACTAGACGTCATTGGTGTGAATGGTTTTTTTATAGTGTTATGCTGTGTAATGGTTAAATTTATATATCGTTAAACATGCTTTGATCTAATGGCTTAAATTTGTGTAATGGTGTTGGGCCCACCACCATAAGTATCCTTAAGTCGTGAGGTCGCCCACACCGGATCACCCCGCCATCAAATTTCCCCTCTCACTCAAGAGACAAGACAATTCAAGCGCTCGCATTTTCCGTTTTTCAGCTCACAGTGTATCCCTAAACCCCAAACCCCCAAATTTTCCCTCTCTTTTTTCTCTTCGAGCAAAAAACCAAACAAATGTTCACTCCAGGAACTAAGCGACCCAATGTGAACCCTCGTCGGGACCCAGGATCTCCCGCAACTCCTCTCGTCGAGAACCGGCGACCTGTTTCCGATAACCCGGTCCCGAACCGGCCCAGTACCGGAACTCCGGCTCCCTGGGCTCCTCGCTTATCTGTTCTCGCCAGGTACTCGTCTAATTTATTATGCATTCGTTCTTTGAATTGCTGAAATGAGTTCGTCGGTTCTGCATGTGGGCTTAATTGTTGGTTTTAATAGGATATGGTAATTGGAGAGTTGGGTTGGTGAATGTAAGTGCTGATTTTCAATCGTTTGTGTTGTTTTGTGTTTGGTTAGAGTTTCACCAGCGAACCAAAGTGAGAAAGGGGATGAAATTAAGCCTGTATATGTTGGAGAGTTTCCCCAAGTTGTTCGTGATGAACAGGCCAGTATGGTCCAGAAGCATGTTCATGGTTAGTAGGGTTTACTCCATGAGCTTGGTTGTTGAATGAAATGACTAACTGTAGAATGGTATCCGATGTTTTCTCATTTTTTTTCTTCTTGCAGGTGATGCATATGTATCTGGTGGAATGGAGAGGGGAACATCTCTGGCATGGATTATATGCGGAAACAGACTCTTCGTGTGGAGTTATCTGTCTCCTGCAGCATCGATCAATTGCATTGTTCTTGAAATCCCTGCAAATGTTTTTGAAGGTGGGGATGCGGGCAGAAGTGGTGGGAACTGTTGGTTGCTTTGTGTTGTCAATTGGGATAGCACGTCTACAAGAACAAAGAAAGTTGTTAAACACTGTAGCTCTGCTGGTATTGTATTGTGTAACAAAAAAACTCGAGCTGCAGTGTACTGGCCTGACATTTATGCTGAAGGCAGAACAGCCCCCGTTGTTAGTGTTGCAGCCTCTGATGAATTGGAGGCAAATTCTTCACCTATTGATAGGAAGACCACCCCAAAGCGACAGCAACTAATTATGAGGCACAGGAGTAGTTTGACTGGGTTTTGTACATTTAACTCTTTGATTGCTTCTGCAGTCCCTGATTCCCAGAATATGTGTGTTGCCCTTGCCTGTAGTTCAGATGGCGAGCTATGGCAGTTTCATTGCAGCCCATCTAGTGTTAGCCGTAAGAAAGTATATAGGGACAATCAGACTCTTTCCTCCCAAGGGGGTGACAATGGTCAAAACCTAGGGAGCAAGGGTTATCCAAGGTCACTGACCTGGTGTTTTCCAAGTCTTCCTATGCAGGAATCTAACAGGCAGTTTGTTCTTCTGACAGATCATCATATTCAATGTTTTAATGTTGAACTTTGTGCTGAATTTGTTGTGTCAAAACTCTGGTCTCATGAGATAATTGGCTCAGATGGGGATCTGGGCATTAAGAAAGATTTGGCCGGGCAGAAGCGAATCTGGCCTCTCGATATGCAGGTGGACTATCATGGTAAAGTGACTACCATTCTGGTTGCTACCTTCTGCTTGGACCGGGGTAGTAGTTCAAGCTACACACAGTATTCTCTTTTGACTATGCAATATAAATCTGGAATGAGTGTAGAGCCTACCCATGAAAGAGTTTTAGAGAAAAAAGCACCTGTGCAAGTGATAATCCCAAAAGCAAGAGTAGAAGATGAAGACTTCTTATTCTCCATGAGACTGCGGGTAGGGGGCAACCCTTCAGGATCAGCAATCATCCTTTCTGGTGATGGAACAGCAACAGTATCTCATTATTTTAGAAACTCTACAAGGCTCTATAAATTTGACCTACCTTATGATGCTGGAAAGGTTCTAGATGCTTCAATTCTTCCGTCTACAGATGATGGTGAAGAAGGGGCATGGGTTGTACTCACCGAGAAGGCAGGAATATGGGCAATACCTGAGAAGGCTGTTATACTTGGTGGGGTTGAACCTCCTGAGCGAAGTTTGTCACGTAAAGGTAGCTCAAATGAAGGATCTGCACAAGAAGAGAGAAAAAACCTTACATTTGCAGGCAATTTTGCTCCTAGAAGGGCTAGTTCTGAAGCATGGGATGCTGGGGATAGACAAAGGGCTATGACTGTAAGTGCGCGTCAAACTGGCCAAGATGAAGAATCAGAAACTTTACTGAGCCAGCTTTTCCATGATTATCTTTTATCTGGGCAAGTTGATGCCTCGTTTGAAAAGTTAAAAAATTCAGGGGCATTCGATAGGGACAGAGAGACAAATGTTTTTGCGCGAATGAGCAGATCAATTGTTGACACTTTAGCTAAACACTGGACAACAACTAGAGGAGCCGAGATTCTGGCAATGGCTGTAGTATCCTCCCAACTCATGGATAAGCAACAGAAACATACAAAATTTCTCCAGTTTCTTGCTTTATCCAAATGTCATGAGGAGCTGTGTTCGAAACAGAGTATGCCCTCATGCCTATTATATTTGCAATGTTTTATCATTTGATGTCAAATCCTTTCCAATTGACATGGCATATATTGAAACTTGAAAGTTCGTGCATGCAATGGTGTAGGTATAGCACACATTTACTTCCACGCGTGCTTATCTAACCCACTGTGCTCAATCAATTTCTTTTAGGTTGTCAGATATTAACACATAAAGTTATATTTTGTTACCATAGTTTAATTTATCAAAAATAAAAAGATTGTCAGATATTAACACATAAAGTTATATTTTGTTACCAGAGTTTAATTTATCAAAAATATGATTTTCAGGGAATTTTTTCTTTTTGGTGCTGTGCTCATTTGATAATTTTGTCATCAGAATATCTATTGGATACACGGAGTATATTAATTAGTGTCTAGATGACAATATTTCTTAAGGTGTCCTATCATGGGGGTAGAAGGCCTATTGAGGAGTATATTGATTTGAGGTTCAGTGGGGTGCTGTTGACCAACTAAATTATGTTTTTATGTTTCCTTTCTGGCAGGAAATTCTTTGCAAATTATCTTGGAGCATGGTGAAAAGCTTGCTGGAATGATTCAACTAAGGGAATTGCAGAACATTATCAGCCAGAACCGCTCTAGTGGACTTAACTCCTCCCATTC